GGGGATACTCAAGGCTTTTTTGTTGCACGCTGGAATGTAATTAGTGCAGCTGATCATATGACCGGATGCATCCACGTGTTAATTTCATGTGATAGACACACCCTCCAGAACATGGCTACCAGAAGTATTAAGAAGGAATCATAGCTAAAATTCATTTCAAATCAGTTTTTATCATTAATTTTTTTGTTTTTCTTCATTCTTCTTCTACTTATTAAATGCATTTTGTTATCAGATCAAAACAGTATGTTTAATAATGCAAAATTGACTAAAATTGTATAATCAGATAATGAATGCTATAAAAGCCATGGCTGTCAGAGACATCATTTGCAGATGAGGTAGAAGTAGTTCCCCAAGTTCCACAACAGTATGTACTCCTATAATACTGCACATAATTATTAGATAACAATCATAAGTGAACTGACCATTTCTTAACTTGTTGTTCATCAAGAGGCAAACTCACTAGCTTTAGTCATTGACCAGGGGACGAAGGAAGAGTTTTTCTGTTCCAGAACTTATTTTCCAGAGGACATAATACAGTACTGAGCCAAAGTAGTGATTGACATTTTGTTTGGCACTGAACCCTGTCAGCAGGCACAAAAATTATCCTAAATATCGATAACAGGCTTTGTGAGACCCATTTCTGTTCCTTCTTGACTTCTCTTTGAACCTCAGACCTCATGAAGCTCCTTTAAATTCTACCTGTCTTCTAGAGGCCACTTTATTAAAATTATATCATGTGATATTAACAAGTTTGAGGTTGTACCATGTGTTTGGAGCAATCTGATTGGTGCGCCAACATTCCAGCGCAATGCAACAAAAAAGCCTTGAGTGTCCCCAGACCCTTCCTCAGAAAGCGAAGGGGCGGGGCAACGAGACTAGTACTACATGTATGTTACATAAAGTTTTGGTTATTGGCTATCAAAATGCCTTCCAAAATTATAAGCTATGGTAAGTGTTCTGTTATTTAAATTACTAGGGATTTATTAATAAGTGATGTACTGCCATGGTTACGAGAGCTAACTGGTATTGACCTGTATGAGACTGTGGATGCAACTTGTGCTAAATACGATTATACAGGTCACATGACTGATATGTACCCTCACATGATGTAGAGTGATCTCTCTCTTTGTAGATGTGTTATTGTGTCATGATGATGAGCTGGAGGGTAGAAGGATTGCATACATATACTATCTTGTAGATCCTTCATGGGAGAAAAAAGATGGAGGTACATGTAAGAATTAAAATGGCAGAACTTGCCAGAATATTAAACTGCCAATCATAAATGTGCATGCTTGTGTGCATAAAAAATAACCAAATAAAAGTTTCAAGCTCATCTTTATAGAAGATTTGCCAAATTAAGGCACACATTAATACTTTATTCTCTTCATTCTTCTATAGGGACACTTGATCTATTTAATACTGATGGTATGTACATTTGTCATTTATAATAATAGTTATTTTATTATGTAGAGTTTGGCCAGCCTCATCAGATAGTCCATTCTATTGTTCCTTTGTGGAACTCCTTTGTATTCTTTGAAGTCACTCCAATCTCTTTCCATCAAGTAAGATACATGTACCTTGTATATAGCTCTTATATTTAGTGTACATGAAATTTCTTCCTGCTAAGCATTCACGGATAAAAAATTTCACAAAATGGCCTATTTATTCATTCAACAATGTGTGGCAAAAAAAATTTTATTGGCATTTTAATTTAACCAATTTTAACCATCCACAAAATTAGCGAAATTTATTATCCACGAATTATACATGTACATGTAAGTGCTATACAGTAGTTCATTGTGCAATCAACCAATCAGATTCTCTCGCTCACATGTGTTAGGTATCTGAAGTGTTGACGGCTTCAAAGACTCGTCTAACAATCAGTGGCTGGTTTCATGGGCCGTCATTGCCCCGCCCATCTCCTTATAAGGAAGTCATGCCATTAATGTACCACCCACTGGATAAACCAGTACGTTAACATTGTAGTAATAATTGTTTGACTTGTTAAACCAGTTAGAGGTGTTGGCGGAGTGGGTTAGTCCAGTGTATCTTGATGTTGGTACACAATCACAGATAAGGGAACAATTTGAGAGTGAATCACAAATTGAATTACCTGACTTCTTAATAGTGAGTACACTTTAAATAAGCAATGCATTATACATGTACTTGCAATAACTGTAAAAGAGGATGTGTTTATGTGCACTGTACCTATTGAGTTTTTTTATTGTCTAAGTTTAAAAGCTTATGCAAAATGACCAAATTTAGTTTGCAATTACCTGCATGGAATGACAATAATAACTTAAATGTATACACGATGTGCATGCAGTTATTTCACATGACAATGCACTCAATTCTCTTGTGCCTGTGTCCATTGAACTAATAGTAATTATAGCATAATCTCTTATTGCTCTATGTAGATTAGCTCACATGTATTGATATGTACTTGTAGGAGGATAAATATAAGTTGTTGTGCAATGACTTAAATAAAAAGGTAAACATCTGGGAGAGAAGAGGACCACCTAATAAAAGGTTAATTTTCCATTCTGGAACAAATAAATTTATACTGAAAAGTATAATTTTCATTGTAATATCTTAAACAATAAACATACTGTCATACTCTTATTGTAGCTAACTTTCTCTATTCCTAAACCTAGAAATATTGAAGTTGCCCAACCAGACAAACTGTTACCATTACCTACTGAATGTCACTCCCTTTTTCTGTCTGAGCCTTTCTGTCTCCTCCTCTCTCATCTTACTGGCCTACAGCTAACATCTCATACTCTAAACCTCAACCCTAATGATGATGTATCCATTATGCCAGAGAGTAATAACACTCCTTGTAACTGTCATGGTGACTGGTACCGCTGGCAGCATGGTGGATACACACTGATGAGTGATAGCACCAGCACTGTTAATGGAGAGAATGCGGAAGAGTTCTCACTTGATGCAAAGCTATTTTTTAATACAGAAGGTAAGAAACTACATGTAATGTTTTTACATCAATTGAATGAATGTATATTGTTTGCCAGCATGCCATCAATTTTCATGAGACTATAATAAATGCTC